GTGTTCTTTGGGTATCTCTCTCTCTCTCTCTCTCTCTCTCTCTCTCTCTCTCTCTCTCTCTGTGTGTGTGTAAAGTGCCATCAAGTCATAGCTGACTTATGGCAAACCCCAGCAAGCTACTTCCATTCCAAGGCCTTCCCCTGCTTGCAGAGGACTAGCACACTGCAAAGAAGACCTCATCCAGATTTCTGGGAAAGCTTTTGCATATGTTAACCAGTCTCCGTTTACTTAAGAACACCAGAAGAGCCCCGCTGGATCAGACCAGTGAGGGCCTATCTAGTCCAGCATCCCCTCTCACACAGGGACCAAACAGTTCCTCTGGAGGGCCAAAAAAACAGGGCATAGAAGCCAAGGCCTTCCCCTGATAAGAACCTCAGAAGAGCCCTGCTGGATTAGACCAGGGAGGGTCCATCTAGTCCAGCCTCCCGTCTCACACAGGGGCCAACCAGTTCCTCTGGAGAGCCAACAGTAGGGTTGCCAAGTCTATTTTTCTTAATTTAATGGCGGGGGCGCCGCCCCGGGCTCCAGGAGCTGTTTGTCCGCCCGCGCACGCCAGCAGCACGTCACCAGAAGTGACATGCAACGTCGATCACGTTGAGGGCGTGGCCCCGATTGTCGGAGGGAAAACCATAGAATTTTCCCTCCGACGATCGGGGCCACGCCCCCAATGTGATCGACATGGTTGCGTCACCTCTGGTGACGCAGCCACGCTGCGCTTCGGGGGGCGGAGTTCCCCCTGGGGCCCGATTCCGCAGTGGCGGGAATCGGGCCTCCGAAGTTGGGGTTTACCCCGCCCCCACTTGGCAGCCCTAGCCTACAGCAGGGCAGAGAGGCCGAGGCCTTCCCCTGATGTTGCCTCCTGGTTCTGGGATTCAGAGGCTTAGTGCCTCTGAATGTGGAGGTCCCCCTCAGTCATTTTGGCTAGTAGCCATTATTAGACTTATTCCCTATAAATCTGTCTACTCCCCCTTTTAAAGCTGTTTATTCCTGCATACTTGGGAGGAAGTACTGACTTTTTGGGAATCCTACCTGAAAGACTGTGACGATGGCCCAGAGCAAGGAATCAAAGTTCTTTCTGTCCGGGATGGTGTCCCCCGTATCTGTTTTCAAGCTGAACTTGCACCCAAAAAGATGCATGCCAAGAATGCTAGAAAAGAAAGCAAGGTTTACTGTTGTGCTTAAAGTCCTGAGGTTTCTCTACCCTTGCAGGAGGGTATTCAAACTCTTCCACCAATGGTTGCCAAGCCCAAGCCACGAGGAAAGTATTTAAAATGATTTTTTTTAAAGGACAATTTAAAAACTGAAAGAAATTTGGATAAACGAATGCAGAGCCAGTGTGGAGTAGCGGTTAACAGCAGTAGACTCAAATCCAGAGAGAACCGGGTTTGATTCCCAGTCCTCCTCTGCATGAAGCCTGCTGGGTGACCTTGGGTCAGTCACAAGTTCTCTCCAAACTCTCTCAGCCCCACAAGGTGCCAATCCCTCTTCTTCTAACTACTTGAACAATTCCTTATTTATAACCAGGGCTTTTTTTGTAGAAAAAGCCCAGCAGGAACTCATTAGCATAACAGGCCACACCCAGCAGCAAACTCATTAGCATATTAGGCCACACCCCTGACTGCACAACTCATTAGCATATTAGGCCACACCCCATGTTACCAGAAGTGTGGTCACCCAGCCACATTCACCTTTTGTTCCTTATTCTGTTTACCTTGTTTGTTTATTCTGTTATTCTGTTTACCTTGTTTGTTGTCCAAACCCAGGGCTTTTCTTGTTGCAGGAACTCCTTTGCATGTTAGGCCACACACCCCTAATGTAGTCAGTTCTAATGAGTTTCTGATGTTGGGTGTGGCCTATTTTGCTAATGAGTTCCTGCTGGGTGTGGCCAACTTGGGAGCCAGTTGGAACTCCGTTCCTGTGCGTTCCTGCCCCAAAATAGCCATGTTTATAACTGCAGATACTCAAAACAGCAACTTTCTCTTGAAATCCAGATCCTCACTTTCACACATACTTCTCACCCCACAGACATCGCGCAAAAACAGAAAAAATAGAACCGAGTCAATCATAGGGTTGCCAGGTCTGGATTGGAAAATACCTGGAGACTTTGGGGGTGGATCCGGGAGAGAGCGGGGTTTGGGGAGGGGAGGGGTCTCAGCATGGTACAGTGCCATAGATTCCACCCTTCAAAGCAGCCATTTCCTCCAGGGGAATATATCATTTGTCAGCCTATTTAAAAAGAAGGCTTCTAGCTGGGTAGAAAAGAGGACTGATGTGCTTCTACTATAAACAACTAGAGAGCAACTGAGACAGCAACTTGAGATAGAGGGCATTTGCCAGCCAATTTTTAAAAAAGAAGGCTTCCTAGCTGGATAGAAAATAGGACTGGTTGCTACTACTAGAAATAAATTAACTGGCTTGCTCCTAATTGAAACACTTGAAATGGAACTAGAAGATTTTGAAGAAAGTAAAAAAAGAAGTAAAAAAGAAGCTGCCACGATCTGCTGATCTGTCTGCGGAAATTTCGTCTTGCGAATCTACCACGAAGCTCTCCCCTGACACTTGCCAGGCAAACGTGGCCCGTTGTCATCCGGCACTTAAAAGAGTTAAAAACAATTAACCTGGGGAGGAAAGAAATACCGAGGAAAGATCCAGAACATACCTGAAGATGAAGATGAAGAGCATGAGCAGCATGCAGAAGGTGGCCACGTTGTCCATCGTCTTCATCAGGACCACCAGTTGGCGCCGGAGGGCCGGCATGAACCGCACCAGCTTCAGGACCCTGAGGAGCCGGAAAGTTCTCAGCACGGAGAGGCCTCCGTCCGACTGGCCGATGATCTCCCAGACGCTGCGGCACCGAACGAGAGACTCGTCAGTTTCGGGCATGGATTTACGGGGAACGGTTTATCGCATCATAATGATAATTTCACACATTAGTGGCTAAATGGCAGCTCCCGGGGCCCCCTCCCCAGCATTTCAAGCTGCGCATGACCAGCTAGCTCTGACTAGGGCTGCCCGGCGTGAGCTAAGGTTGCCCGGTCCGTACCTTTTGGTGACAGGGGCTCAAGTCTTCTCCAGCGTCCTCCTGCACGCATACCACAATGACATCACCCAAAAGTGACGTCATCGCGCTAGGCACGTCGTGGGGCAGATGCTCTAGCATTCAGGCAAAAACTCTATGGCCACCATAGAATTTTTAGCCGAACGCTAGAGCGTCTGCCCCGCGACATGCCCAGTGTGATAATGTCACCTCCAGGTGATGTCATTGGGTCAAGCACGTCGGACGCCACAGACCTCATTGGGGGCCAGCAGACGGATTCGGGGGGCCGAAATCGGGGGAACACCCATTCCCATCAGGGACATGGCACCTCTAGTGTGAGTTATCTACTGGTGGAAGATAGTTGGAGTCCATCTGGTGACTGGACCTGGGAGATCTACAGTTGTTGCGTCTGCCATGCTATCATTCTGCCCTTCTGCTATGAGACCGTAGCATCATATATGGTTCTCCTTTCCTCCATTTCCTCCTTACAACAAGCCTATGAGGAAGGCCAGGTTGAGAGTGCGAGTTCTAAAACCTCATGAACTCCAAAACTTGAGCATTGATTTGGATTCAGGTCTCCCAAATCCCCGGTTGCTATTCACGGACCATCTCATAATGGTACAGGAACAGTGGCTGTTTCCAGATGTTCCTGCCAATCAGTTTTATGGGATGACCCTAATCCTCTGAATCCTGGAAGCAGGAAGCTACATCAGGGGAAGGCCTTGGCCTCTGTGCTGGCTCTCCAGAGGAACTGGTTGGCCGCTGTGTGAGACAGGATGCTGGACTAGATGGGCCCTCCCTGGTCTGATCCAGCAGGGCTCTTCTGAGGTTCATCTCAGGGGAAGGCCTCGGCCTCTCTGCCCTGTTGTTGGCCCTCCAGAGGAACTAGTTGGCCACTGGGTCATACTAGATGGACCACTGGTCTGATCCAGCAGAGCTCTTCTTCAGGGTCGCTAGCTCTGGGTTGGCAACAGTGTTCCCTCTAAGCAGAGTTAGCGTAAGCCAGCTCACAGTTTTTTCGACTCTGGCTCACACATATTTGTCTCAGCTCAGGAAGGAGGGCTCCAGAGCAAACTCATGGATGCAGCAGCCAAATCGCTCCCTCACAGCTTTAATGCTAGCAACTCACAAAGTAGAATTTTTGCTCACGAGACTCCACAGCTTAGAGGGAGCACTAGTTGGAAAATAGCTGGAGACTTTGGGGGTGGATCCAGGAGAGGGCGGGGTTTGGGGAGGGGAGGGGCCTCAGCAGGGGTAATTTCCTGCAGGAGTGCACAGGAGCGGAGTTCCAGCAGTAAAAAGGCCAGTGGGCGGGCACATGCAACAAGCCCCACCCCCTGCTCCAAGCAGCCCTCAGTCAGAGCAAGAAGCAGCCAGGTAACCTGCAGAGCCCCCCTCCCACCCCCACCCCCGGTCCAAAACAGTCCAGTGGCACCTTCAGGTACAAGCTCTCCCTCCTCTGCGAGGACAGATTTGCACGTTCCCCCTCCCCCCCAATAGCTAGCAATCCAAAAGAGTCCAGTGGAGCCTGAGCGGTGGGTGTTGCCTTTTGACACGCTTCCGGTGATGTCAGGGGGTGTGGCATATGCAAATGTTATGCTAATGAGTTATGCTAATGAGCTCCTGCACCTCTTTTTCTACGAGATGACCCCTGGGCCTCAGCATGGTCTGACGCCAGAGAGCCCACCCTCCGAAGCAGCCATTTTCTCCAGTGGAGCTGATCTCTGTCAGCTGGAGATCAGTTGTAAAAGTGGGAGATCTCCAGGCCCCACCTGGAGGCTGGCAACCCTACTCTTTTTATGTTATCATGAAACCCCCCCCCCCCCTTTTTTTGAGAGAGAAAGAGGAAAAATGTCCCTGGCTTTCACTGTCTCGACACTGATGGGCCCCCATGCGCTACGGCCTCCTCCAGTGAGACGAGATCCAAGCGGCCAACTGACCTGATCACAACGATGATGCCATCGAAGATGTTGTAGGGGTTCTTGATGTAGCCCCAGATGCCGAAGGCCATCAGCTTGAGGAGCATCTCGAGGGCAAACATGCTGGTGAAGACGATGTTGCTGATCTCCAGAGCGTTGGTCAACTCGTCTGGCTGTGCGGGGTCAGGAGACAAACCCCAAAAAACACAAAACACAAGGTCACATCAAGGAATGCTCCCTGCACCTTCCCGGTCCCCCAAACCGAACCGAAAAGACACTTTGGAAGGACCCTGTGAGCCAGAGTGCCCTAAACTGCCCGACGCGAACTCAATATTTTCTTCCAGGCTCGCCGATAAGGATCCAAATTAATATTCAAGCGCTGTCAAGTTGCACCCAACTCAGGGCGACGCCTTGTGGGGGGGGGGTTTCACGGCAAGAGAGGTTCAGAGGTGGTTTTGCTATTGCATGCCTCTGCGTGGCAACCCTGGAATTCTTTGTTGGTCTCCCATGCAAGTCCTAACCGTGCCTGACCCTGCTTAGCTTTCAAGTTCTGACAAGATTGGGCTATTCAGGTCAGCGCATTTCACACACTGGTGGTGGTGGTGGAAATTGCCGTCAAGTCACAATCAACTTACAGGTTTTGAAGGCAAGAGAGGACACAAGGTGGTTCGCCCTTGCCTGCCTCTGCAGAGCAACACTGGACTTCCTTGGTGGCCTCCCATCCAAGTACTGACCAGGGCCGACCCTGCTTAGTCTCCAAAATCTGACGAGATCAGGCTAGCTGAAAACATGCAGGTCAGGGAAGAGGCAAACAGGGGTGGTTCGCCATTGCCTGCCTCTGCACAACAACCCTGGACTTCTTTGGTTGCCTCCCATCCAAGTACTGACCAGGGCTGACCCTGCTTAGCTTCTGCGATCTGATGAGATCAGGCTAGCTGGGAACATCCAAATCAGGGAGGAAACAAACAGAGATGGTTCGCCATGGCCTGCCTCTGCGTAGCAACCCTACTTTGGTGGCCTCCCATTCAAGTACTGACCAGGGCTGACCCTGCTTAGCTTCTGAGATCTGATGAGATCAGGCTAGCTGGGAACATCCAAATCAGGGAGGAAACAAACAGAGATGGTTCGCCATGGCCTGCCTCTGCATAGCAACCCTAGACTTCCTTGGTGGCCTCCCATCTAAGTACTGACCAGGGCTAACCTTGCTTGGTCTTCAAGATCAGGCCAGCTGAAAACATGCAGGTCAGGGAGGAGACAAACAGAGATGGTTCGCCATGGCCTGCCTCTGCATAGCAACCCTAGACTTCCTTGGTGGCCTCCCATCCAAGTACTGACCAGGGCCGACCTTGCTTGGTCTTCAAGATCAGGCTAGCTGAAAACATGCAGGTCAGGGAAGAGACAAACAGAGGTGGTTTTGCCGTGGCCTGCCTTTGTTGGCCTCCCGTCCAAATACTAACCAGGCCCGACCTGGCTTAGCTTCTGAGATCGGGCTAGCCTGGGCCATCTGTGCCAGGGCAAGAGACGTTCAGAGGTGGTTTTGCCATGTCCTGCCTCTGCGCGGCAACCCTGGACTTCCTCAGTGGTCTCTCACCCAAGTATTAACCAGGGCTGACCCTGGTTATCTAGCTAACTGATTTGCTTCCCAAACACAGGATGGCTCTCCCTCTGGCCGGTCTCAGCGTTCTTCCATTCACTTTATTAGGAGGGAGATATTGTGGCGTGCCTCTTTATGAGATTTTATTCCCTTGTGCTACCAGGGAAATTAAAACAGTCAGGCGGCCGCCGCCGCACTACCCCTTTTATGATGACCTTAGATATCTATTTATTACCCCTAGCCTACGAGAGAGAGAAAAATCCCAGGAGGAAATGACTCCTTTCTTCTTGCAGACCCGGAATCTGGAAACTCAGATCGAATTGCTAGATTCTGTGCCGCTGCCGGAGTCTACCAGTTCTGATTTAGTGGCGAATATCTGCTGCGGGGCCGCGGTGGCTCAAGTGGTTAAGACACTGAGCTGCAGGCTGGAAGGTCTGTAGTTCGGCAGTTCGAGACCCGAGTGTGCCGCATGACGGAGCGAGCTCCCGTCTCTAGTTCCAACTCCTGCCAACCTAGCAGTTCGAAAGCAAGAAATTGCAAGGAGATAAATAGGTGGGAAGGTAACAGCGTTCCGTGCGCCTCAGTGTTTAGTCATGCCAGCCACATGACCACGGAAACGTCTTCGGACAGCGCTGGCTCTTCGCCCCCTACAGTTGGATCCGACTGGCTTTCGAGCAAGGGAAACCTTGACCTTTACCTTTATGGCCCATAAAGAATGAAGGGTTGACCCCACTTCACTTCCAAGCTCTGCGTTATTCAGACTGGTGATTAGAACCCACAGCCTCCCAGATTAGTTAGATTTGGGCCCAGTAGCACCTGTGAGACCAACAAGATGGTGGAGGTGTAAGCTCTCGAGAATCAAAACTGCCTTCATCAGATGAAAGGAGCGTTGACGCTCAAAAGCTCATACGGTGGGGCCTTTGGAGGCTCGGCCCCCTTGCTCAAAGGCACAGCCCCACAAGTATTTCTCCTGTAAATGCTTTTTTCAATAATTTAAAACAGGTTTTTTTTAAAAGTTGTGCACTCCTTTAAGCAGAGTGGGGTGCTGTAGTTGACTAATTCCTGCACTGGGCTAGGGGGTTGGAGTAGGTGACCTCTAGGGTACCTTCTAACTCTGTGTCAAGAACCTGGTCTTCTTTAAGAGAGTTGTTCTGCCCATGTTTTATAGCCTCCAGCTCACACGTTTTTGTCTTAGCTCAGGGAGGATGGCTCCAGAGCCAACGAATTTAGGCAGTAGCCAAATCGCTCGCTCCCAACTTGAATGCCAGGAGCTCACAAAGTAGAATTTTTGCTCACAATACTCCACAGCTTAGAGGGAGCATTTCCCACAAGCCACATGGGACTGCCTTATACTGAATCAGACCCTCGGTCCTTCAAAGTCAGTACTGTCTACTCAGACTGGCAGTGGCTCTCCAGTGTCCCGAGTGGAGGTCTTTCCCATCACCTTTTGCCTGGTTCTTTTTAACTGGAGATGCCGGGGATTGAACCTGGGGCCTTCTGCATGCCAAGCAGAGGCTCTGCCACTGAGCCACGGCCCCTCTTGACAGCTCTCCAGGGTCTCAGATGGAGGTCTTTCCCATCACCTCCTGCCTGGTCCTTTTTAACTGGAGATGCCTCTGGGGATTGAACCTGGGACCTTCTGCATGCGAAGCAGAGGCTCTGCCACTGAGCCACAGCCCCTCCAGGGTCTCAGGCTGAGGTCTGTCTCATCACCTCCTGCCTGGTCCTTTCTAACTAGGGTTGCCAAGTCCAATTTCCTTACCGGCGGGGGACCCTTGCCATGCTCCAGGAGCCATTCCTCGATGCGCGCGCCGCCAGCACATCACCAGAAGTGACGCGCAATGTCGATCACGTTGAAGGCATGGCCCCGATCGTCGGAGGGAAAACCATAGAGTTTTCCCTCCGACGATCGGGGCCACACACCCCGGGTTCCCCCCGGGGCCCAATTCCGCGGCGGTGGAAATCGGGCCTCCGAAGCGGGGGTTTACCCACCCCCCGCCCCCACTTGGCAGCCCTATTTCTAACTGGAGATGCCGGGGATTGAACCTGGGACCTTCTGCATGCTAAGCAGAGGCTCTTCCACTGAGCCCTTTGTCCCACCCAAACCAACATGGCTACATTCTGAAATTATCTCCCAAATCAGTGCACCACACTGATGGAACTAGCCTTACAAGTGGTATGTTTTCAGAGGTCCAGCTGGGCGGCTGCCAAGGGACCAGGGACTGGGGAGGGCCCAAAGGCGAGAGGTTGCAGTCGACTCCCTGGATCCTCTGGCACGCATGAAGAGCGGGGGACTCTTCTTCTTCCTCTGCCAGAAGGTCAGAGCGCACTTGGCAGCGGGGGGTCATGCATGCGCTCAAGTAAAGAAGGCCCAACCCTTTAGCTTTTTTGTGTCCGCGTTTGACAGGACACAGTGCACTTGGCAAAGGAGCCCTTCAGAAAGTCCTGATTAATCGCTTGGGTCAGCATCGAGCGAGATTCGTTTGAAATCCTCACCTTTCGTGCCGGAATTTTTTTTTTTTACAAGGAGTTTGGTGTGATTTTTATTCATTCATTTATTGATCTGATCTGATTTGTATCCCATCCTCCCCACAAGTCAGCTAAAGGCGGGTTACACAACATACAATACGCTGAGCAAGAATAACACAGACCCAGGGGCTCAGTCGTGTTCGTCTGAAGCAGTGGAACAAATTTAGAGTCCAGCGGCACCTTGAAGGCCAACAAAAGTCTTATTCGAGGCATGCGCTTTCATGTGCCAGGCACACTTTTTCAAATCAAACAGTTTAAAAGCCCCCAAAATGACGATTCCAGATTCTGACTCAATCGCGAGATGGCACTTCCAAAACTTATGGTGTCCAGAGTAGACAGAGGCATATATGGTCCGGATTCCCAGAATGGTAGAATTGTCGCCATGGGACTCAAAGGGCCGCTTAAGCAGGAAGGGCCAGATTGATTGGACGTCTGCAACCTCAACCAAAGGCTTGGTGGAAGAGCTCCGTCTTGCAGGCCCTGTGGAACTGTCATAGACCCCGCAGGGCCCCGATCTTCACCGGGAGTTCGTTCCACCAGGCTGGGGCCAGGGCGGAAAAGGCCCTGGCTGTTTTCGAGGGAAGGTGGATGTCTTTTGAGCCAGTGATTTCCAGTACATGGTGATTTGCTGAGCACAAGGCTCTTTGGGGCACAGATGGGGGAGAAGAAGAAGAAGAAGAAAAAGAAGAAGAAGAAGAAGGGATTGGATTTATGCCCCGCCCTTCACTTGGAGTCTCAGAGCGGCTTACAAACTCCTTTCCCTTCCCCTCCCCACAACAGACACCCTATGAAGTAGGTGGGGCTGAGAAAGCTCTGAAAAAAACTGCTCTTTCAAGGACAGCTCTGAAAGAACTATGGCTTTTGCCCAAGGTCACCCAGTGGCTGCAAGTGGAGGAGTGGGGAATCCCAGTTCTCCTAGATTAGAGTCCGCGCACTTAACCACTGCACCAAACTGGTGTTGGTCCCTGGCCACACAGGGCTTTAAAGGTTAAGACCAACACCTTGAAACGGATCCGGAGTTCTATTTTAAAAAACATTTGTAAACAATTT